GAGTCACAAAGAAAGTTGGGGAGTAAAAACAGTAAAGGAGTGCAAGAGAAAAAGAACATTGACCATAAGAGAAAATGAGGCCAGAAATAATAGAGGCTGCAAAAAGGTAGAGGGCCAAGAAAGGGTGGGAGGGGGAAAGAAATGCAGAGGCTGAAAAGGGCAGGAGGCCAAAACAAAGAGAGAGGCCAAAGGAAAAGTAAAGACAAAAAAAAAGAGGAGGGTGGAAAGGGGTGAGAGGTCGAAGAGGCACATGAGACATACGGGAAGGTCTGTGCAAAGAGGGGTCTAAAGTTTAATCGGTTCCTCGGGGCTGGACGGGGCTCAGTGGCGATAAGGCAGCACAATGTCCAATTGTTCTCCTTGCACACCGAGTCAGCCCAGCTTCCTCTGCCTTCTGGGCTCGGGATGTGCAGGAACACAGATTTTGGATTTGGGCTGGAGAGAGTTTGGGTCTGCCGAGGTCCCCAGCCAGACCTAGAACTCTGCAAGTCCTTTGGATAAACTTTCCTTCCCAGCTCCACCCCAGCTCAGGGGATAAACTTTTCCTCCTAAGCTCCCTAAATTACTCTGGCCTTCCTCCCACTCCTGAGACCTTGATCTTCCTCCCAGCTGAGGCAGCTCATCGTGCAGCTGGCTACAGCTCCTTGCCCTTATTCCTGATCAGCCGCACACTTGGCTCCAGAGCTGAAGCCCCACAGCACCCTGGACCCTCAGCACAGCAGGGATGGGGAGCTGTTGCTCTGTGCTGCTCTATCAGGGAGTTTCCCCTTTGCTAAATGGCCCAAAGGGGCCAAGGGGCTGCAGGTGGCAGAAGGTGGCAGTGGGGACATGTGACTCCAGGGGCATGTGGAGGCTCAGCCCTGACAACAGCTGCACCCCCAGCCAGGGTCATTCGAGCCTTGCAGCAATTTGTCTTTATATTTGACATCTTTGGTTCGGCTGAGAGAATTCACAGCTCAGAGCATGGTGGTGATGAGGAGTCAGGGCTGACAGGCCCATCGGGATAATATGGTGTTATTTCAGCTATAAATCCTAGAAGGTTTGGGTTGGAAGGAACCTTCAAGATCGCCCAGTTCCAACTCCCTGCCATGGGCAGGGACACCTTTCACTAGACCAGGTTGCTCCCTGCCCAACCTGACCTTGAATACTTCTAGGGATGGAGCATCCCTAATCATCCTTAATTGCCCAGAGAAGCTATGGCTTGCCCCAGTCTTACCATGGTTCTATGATTTTATTCTGTTTTTTTTCATCAAAAATGATCCATTTATACTGCTGTGTCACTGCACTGTATCATTGCTGTTTGTTTGGGGGTTTTTCAGTTTGTTTGGTTTTGGTTATTTTAATGGCCCAAATATTGTGATTTGCCATTTAAAATGTTTTTATTTTGTTGTATATTTCGGTCTGAATTCTGATCTGGGCTTCTGCTTCTGCCCAGAGCTTTAGGTGAATTTGCAGTAATTTGGAGAGTGTCATTTGGAATGATGTTCCTGGCTGCGGAACTGCTCCTGTCTCCCGGGGTCTGGGGGCACCTGCAGGATTTGGGGGGGTTTGTCGCAGTCGAGGAGAGCAGCACACTGACTCCCTAAAGCTGTCCCTGGAGAAGGGACCTGCTGCCTCCCCACTCCCCACCCCACCCCTGTGCTCCGGAACCTCCCTCTGCCCCCTCACTCCAAGAATCCCATGGGGCTGGCAGAACATCACATGGGCATCTGTGAGGGTAGCAGAGCATGGATCCGTGGGGATCCATGTGGCATGTACTAGCATCCTGTGGGCATCCCAGAGCCTCCTGCGGAGGTCCATGGGGCTGGCAGAGCATCCCATGGGGAACCTGAGCATCCTGTGAAGCTCCGTGGGGGTGGCAGAGCATCCCATAGGGATCAGTGAGGGTGTTAGAGAATACCATCGGGGTGGCAGAGCATCCCATTGGGATTCGTGAGTGTGTCAGAACACCCCCTCGGGCTGGCAGAGCATCATATGGGGATCTGTGGGGGTGGCAAAGCACCCCGTAGAGATCCGTGGGGCATGTATGAGCATCCTGTGAAGACCCTATAGCCTCCCGTGGGGATCCATAGGGCTCGCAGAGCATCCCATGGGGAACCCAGATCATGCCGTGCGGCTCGGTGCAGTATGTACCAGCATCCCCCGGGGATCCCAGAGCCGCCAGTGGGGATCCGTGGGGCTGGCAGAGCATGCATGGGGATCCATAGGGTATGTGTGAGTCTCCCGTGGCGCTCCGTGGGGCTGTCAGAGCCCCCCGTGGGCTCAGCCCCGCCCGCGTCTCGCCCCGGTGCGGGTCTGCCGCCCCACCCCCGCCCCGCACCTACCGGCGGCTGCGCGGCGCTCCCGGCTGCGGCTCCGCGAGTGCGCGCGGGGAGAACCGGGATGGAACACAGGGAACGGGGATGATGAGGATGAGGAGGAGCTGCCTCGGGGCGGGGGAGCGGCGGGAGGATGCGCGGGGCGGGGGGGAAAGAGGGGCGGCAGTGCGCGATCGCATCCACTCCCGCAGCGGAGCAGGGCACCTGCATGCACTGCCCCACCACGGGTCAGCCCAGTGGACAGGGGCTGGGCGGGGGCTGAGCCCCCGCGGCCAGCAGGATCGGAGAAAATCCCCCAAATGTCGGAGGAGCATCAGCATTCCTGTCCCTCGAGTTTCCCCCTCCCATCACTGCGCTCCTTGACATTCCTGCGTTGCGGGGCGTCTCAGTACCCTCTGAGAATGCTATGACCCCCCTCATCCCTATCAGCTCCGGGTGCCCCGGGCAGAGGCAACGGGGTTCCTGCCCTCCCTATGGGAGTCCCTGCCCTCCTCTTGGGCATCCGCAGAGAAGGGGCCGGGGCAGGGGCGGCCACAGGGCTACGCCGGCTGTGTTCCCACTGGCACTGTGAGAGCTTGGCCTTAAAAGCCGAAGTGTTCCCGAGAGCGCTGTCAGCAGGATAAAATGCAGCTCCGTGTCCCCAAGGACGGGAACTGGTGCCGGTGCTGGCTCTGCCGTAGGGCAGCTGTGCCGGAGCATCGGCTTTGCTGGGGTGCCAGGGCTGGGCTTGTGGGGTGCCAGCCATGGGCTAATGGGCTCACGGGATGTCAGGGTGGATTTGTGGGATGACAGCAGTGGGCTCTTGGGGTGCCAGTGGTGGGCTTGTGAGGTGCCAGCAGTGGGCTTGTGGCCTCATGAGATGCCAGGAGGATGGGCTTGTGGAGTGGCAGCAGTGGGCTCGTGGGCTTATGGGGTGCCAGTGGCGGTACATGTTGGGGTGCAGCTGTGTGGGGTGTGAGGCTGCGGGTCGCTGCGTGTTTGCTGCTGCTGCTGCGCTAATGAAGCCCGAGCGATGACTTCAGTGCTTGGCCGGGCTCCACGAGCGCTTTGATGTGGTGTTTAGGCTGTGTTATCTAAGGCTCGCCCAGAATAGGCTTTTAGTCCTGGCTCACGTGGAGCCAGTGTGTTTGGACAGGCATTCCGGGCTGGAAATGCCGTGAGCCCAGACGTTTGGATAAAACATTCCCGAGTTGACTGTGGTTACCAGTGGCTGGTGCAGATGGCTGTTAATGCACCCCACAGCACAGGTGGACTCTATGGCCTTTCCTGCTATAGCACTATTCCTTTTTTTTTTTTCAATTTGAACAATCCCACACATTCCTCCTGCTATTTCAGGAAATAATAATAATAAAAAAATAGCCAAACATTCCTGAATCTCATAGAATGGCAGTCCTGGCTTTGCCTCTGTCTGTCCTGGAGGAAAGGCACTGGTGTTTTGAGTATATGAGGAAGATTAGGAAATGCTGCTCCTTTTCCTCACTCAAGGGATCACCCCCCTTGTTTTGGAGCTGCAGGGAGACTGGCCCCTCCCTGCAACCCAGCCTTCCCCACTTGCCTGGCTCCCCTTGTACCCTGGTTGTGGTTGGCATTCAGCAGCCCTGGTGCGATGCAGGGCACGGAGTGCTGCAGATGGTGTCCTGCCAAATGGTGTCCTTTCTGCCTGTCCTGAAGGCAGACGGCCCCAGGACGGAGCCAACAGCCAGAGTGATGCATGGACGTGGAACAAACACAGGCTTGGGCAGTGGGATCTGCACCGGGCACGAGGGGAGAGGAGACTTGGCCAAAATCCAGACACCAACAGTACTGCAGTAGCCCCAGGCCCTGCAGTGAGAGCTGGAGGGATGGGGGACACTGTGGAGATGGGGACACTGAGGAGATGGGGGTACTGAGGGGATGAGTGGTACTGCGGGGCACTGCCATGGCAGCAGCTCTGCCTCCCTCTGCCCTCCTCAGTCTGGCCCTGCCTGGGCAGTCCCAGCTGCAGCAGGTGCCAGTGGTATTTCCCAGGCACTCAGAATGGATTTGGATGGCTGTTCCTCTCCTGCTCCTGCCTCTGGGGTAAAGAACCTCTTCACCTCACTGCCTCAAACACCCACCAGCCTCCTTGGCTCTGAGTCCCATAAATAATACACACTTCCTGGAGCTGTTTGGAAGCACAGTGAATAATTAACCATGGAGCCCCAAGGAAGCTGTAGGTGTTTCTCTCTGTCTGGCACCAGCTCACACAGGCAGTGCCTGTGCGGGCAGCTGAGCCCCAGCACCTGCTGCCCCAGCAGCTCCTTATCCCCGCAAACCATGGTCCTGCAGCAAAGACAACTTAGACAAAACGTCCTGCATATTTTAAATGAGACCCAGAAGATCTCCCATCCTTGGGCTTTGGTTCCATCCCTCTTAGAGTGGCATTCCTGGAAAGAGTCAGTGAGCACCGCTCAGCCCAGTACAAGCTGGGAACTGCACCGTGGTAGAAAGCCCCTCCTGCCAGAGCTGGAAGGAGGAAAAGGAAATGCCAGTTGTTCCCCAATGCCACACATGTGGCCGAGCTGGCGAGCTTGGCCAGGAGTTCAGGAACCAGGACCGTGCGGTGTAGACTCTTTGGGAAGGGGCTCCAAAGGCCCCGGGAGGCTGTGGCTCTGCAGGGTTCTCTGCCAGGGGGAAATGGGGAATGCTGGAAGAGGCACTTACCTGAGGGTCAGTCGGGGTGTGCAGGGCTGGGTGATGGGGTGACTGGGAAGCTGGGGTCACCCTGCCCCTAGCCCCGCTTCCCGGAGCCAGCAGCTCCTGCAGCGATCGCACCCACACCCCTCGCAGCACTCACGGGTGTCCCAGAGCAAGGCAGGGTCCCTCAGATGGGCACAGGCACCAGGAATGTGCCGGGTCCTGGGCAGTGGCTGGTGTCTGCCGGAGGGCACCAGAGCGACACCGTGGCTGGCGGTGCCGGCTGCCGCTCTGCACCCACATAGGACAAGGAAGTATGGATAATCCTTCGCCTTGCTATTTTTTTCCTCTCATGTGATCTTGTTTTTGGACAGCTATTTTGGGGCTGGACTCCAGCCCAGGTGAAAGACAAGGATTGAATCCAGCCTCCCCCTTTCCCGGAGGCCCTCCCAGGACCTCTGCCTGCCTGCCCACGGGATGGGGTGAAACCCTGCCACTGGCTCACGGTCTGTGCCTGCTTCCAGCCCTTTCCCTCTCTTGCTGCAGAGCCCTTTCTGTTGTGTTCTGCTCTGTGTAGCCAAGGGGGGATGAAAGCAGGCTGTGGTGAGCACACCTCAGCCCCATGGAGTCACCCCTCCACCCCCTGGCCTCGCCCTGCCCTTCGGGCCCAGGGCTCTGCTGGCACTGGCTCAGCTGCACAGTCAGAGTCTCCCCAGCACCATTTGCCTCTTTCTGTCCGTTTACCCCCAGACCAGCCTGGCAGGAAGCTGACGGAAGATAAATACATTAAAAATATGCTCAGAGCTTGTAGCAGCCTCGGAATGAACTACTGAAAGCCCTGGCTCTGCGTGCTGCCCATCGTCCCCCTCCTGCCGCTGGAAGCATCCCACCAGCGCCTGGAGGAGGTGGACAGGCAAGGACATGGGTGAGGGGGAGAACTCTGGGAGTCCATGCTGTGTTCTGCCCACCCCTGCCCTGGGGGCTCTGCTGGGGACATCCTTGGGCATATCCTGGTGTCAAACGCTCAGCACTGTCAGGATTGACTATTTTAATCCCATTTATGTCTTTCAGCCCCCTGGATGAAATCAAGGGAGGTCAGTGGGGCTCTGGGGAAGGGCAGCCCGGCTCTGTGGCTTGCGGGAGCTGCAGGAGTGACCCATTGCGTGGGCAGGAGTGTGGCAGAACATGGATGTCTGGGATGTGACACTGGCTCTCCCTGTCCCCATGCGCAGGTGTCACTGCGGACACATCCGTGCCCTTTCACGGCGGATGGCAGGAGGAGTGGGTGCTGTCACGGCTTGTTTGGCTGCCTAAATTGGGCCTTTGCATGACTGAAACTCGTTGACAAGTCTCAGAGAAACCTGAATTTCCCTCTCCCCAGTTCAGCTATGAAAGAAGGGGGTTTCAGCACTGACTCCACAGCACTGTGGGCAGGTGGCACATGGCAGCACGGGACAAACGAAGGACAGGACCCACCGTGGGAGACTTCAGTCAGAAGTGAGTATGATTTATGTTACAGAGAAATGGATTATTCCAGAGGTGTGTTACACAAGTGAAAAATTCGGGTCCAAAAATTAGAGAACCATTTTTTTCAGCCTGTTTCCCAGTCTTTTTTTTTTTTTTTAACTAATATTCTTTATTCTTTTAATATTTGATATATTAAATACATATAAAATACATTAAATACATCAAATGCATATTAAATATATAAAACTATAAAATTAAGAATTTTTTTATATATAAGAATATATGTAATTGTTTTCTTGTTACTGCTGGTAACCAGTTTTATGTCACATAAGGACTTAATAAAGAATTCCTCTCCAACACCTATTAATTGCTCTGTTCTCTTTCAGGGGGGATGAGAACTTTCACCATGTACCCCACCAGAGTCAAAGCTTTTCTGTTGCACTCGCTGCAAATTATGGTATTTATAATAACGAGGTGAATTTTGTGAACCATCAACTCTTAGGAAGCCACTTTTCCCCTTTGCAACAATCTCTGGGGAGGGCTCCGGGGGAAACCAGTTACTTTATAAAAGTAACAGAGGTTTTAATAATGGAAAAGATGAATAAAATTACTGAGTAGAGAAAACCCTGCAGAAGAGGGAGGTGCAGGGAGGCGTCGGGGCCGCCAGAGGGCGCAGCGGGGCCGCAGCTGGAGCATCTGGGCACAGCTGGATGGGGAATCGGGCACCGCAGGGGGATAGGGCACAGCTGGATGGGGGGCACCGCTGGGGGATAGGGCACATCTGGGGCACAGGGCAGAGGGGGAAGTGGGCAGCGGCACTACCGAGGGGGCACATCTAGAGCAGGGGCACAGCTGGGGCCCTGGCACAGCTGTCGTGGCTGTGGCACAGCTGGCAGCCATGGGGCATCTGAGGCTCATGCGGGTGCAGCATCCACAGCTGGGACGTACCTGGGTGGCAGCAGAGCTGGCAGTTCTGGCCAAGTGGCAGCAGGTACATCTGGCACTGCGCACATTTGGTGTCACATCCATGTGCACATCTGGCAGTGCACCACATCTGGCACTGAGCACATCTGGCACCTGGTGTCACACCCATATACACGTCTCGTGGTGCATCCATCTCAGGTATGGCTGGCACTGTGCACAGCTGGTGGCACACCCATGTGCCCAGCTGGCAGTGCACTCACCTCCAGGCTCGGGGCCCAGGTTACCTCTGCTGGCTTCCAAAAGCCACTGCAGCTGCTCCAGGCTTGGGTTTGCTTCCTGCATGAGGTGGGGATGGGGCTCTGCCCCTGTAAGCAAGGCAGGAGCTCCTCATTAAGATCCTCTCGCTCTGATCTCTGCCCAAACCTGTCAATCGCCCAGCCACACACACAGCACAGTAATTTTGTTTGTCTTTGCCGTGGTCTCGCACACTGCTCTCAGTCCCAGCTCCTGCACCAGGACCCTTTTGGTCTTTCCCAGTCGCCGTTTCCCAGGAGGGAGCAACCCATCCTGAGGAATGACTCGGGGTCTTTGTATTTTAACAAATTGAAACGAATGTTGTTTACTCCCCTCGGCACTAGTTCAGAGTCAAGAGCTGATTCCCAAAGGACTCTCCTGGATACACTAACCAAACGAGGCCTCTTCTCCTGTAATTACATTCCAGAGACAACAGACATCTCCTGATTCATTTAATATGTGCCATGTCGTATTTAGATACGTAACAGAAGCCCTATTACCTTAAAAGTCCTGCTGTTTTCAAGTACTGACTTAATTACAGTTTTATCTAAAAATAGATCAAGTTAGCTTGACAGAAATCATTTGTCCTCCTCCCCTGCTTCCCAGTGATGTTTTTTCCCTGCAGTTCCTGCTCCATCATGAACAGCATCAATCCACTGACATAGCCTTTTCCTGAGACCTGCCAAGAGCCCACCAGCATGTCTGCTATTCCCTCATCCCAGTCTTGCAAAATAGAGAATCATAGAAATCATAGAATGATCTGGGTTGGAAGGGACCTTAAAGGTTCCACCCTCTGCCACGGGCAGGGACATCTTCCACTACACCAGGTTGATCCAAGCCCTGTCCACCCTGGCCTTGAACGCTTCCAGGGATGGGGCAGCCACAGCTTCTCTGGACAACCTGTGCCACTTATATATAAACACAAATCTATATCTATATCCATATCTAAAACCACGGACTGCCCAGGACACTCTTTGGGCTCAGGTTATCCAGCTTTGGCTGCCTTTATCCTTCCTGACTTTGGGAGCTGCTGCCACCCAGGTAATTCCTCTGAGCAGGAAGTGGTGCATCGCTGCTGCTCCTTCATCCACTCTTTGCCAGAGCTGTTGTTGTTCCCAGCCCCCACCAAGGTGAGGCTCAGAGCCAATATCTGCTCATCAGCATCACTTTCCTCTTTCCTCTGATTGTTGTGTGGTTTCCACAGCTTTTGTAGTTGCCCTGCTTTACTGGAAGCCAAGCCAAGGCAGCTTTCTTCCCGCTTGGGGAAGAACCGGCTCCGTGAGCGTGGGCGGTGTCACTGGCAGTGGTGGCTCAGAAGGAAAGGTGGGAAAGTCCCTTCTAGGAAGGGCCCCATCAGAGCTGTCCTGGCTGGTCCTTGTGCCGTGCTGGGCTTTCATTTTATTTCCCATGTGCTTGACAATGGAAACAGACTTTTTTCTCCTCATTTGGGCATGAGCAGGATGAAGGCCACGCTCCGGCAGTGCCAGCAGGGCTGAGGGCACTGGGTGCTGGTGCTGCAGGGCTGGACGGATGGGTGGACTTGAAGGATCTCAACTCTCCTAATGTGTGCCACTGGTGGAACTTTCTTTGCCTTGCTGCATCAGAAGCTTTTTGTTCCCTTGCTGGATGAGGGAAGGCAAGGAGGGCAGTCCAGGACCCCGGAGCAGCAGCTTTCCCAGGAATGTCAGCTCTGCTCATTGCAGCATTGGATTTTCTGATCTGAACCCCTGAGGAAAACTGGGACTTCTGTGTCTGAGAGCTGCTCCAGGAGATACCTCACTGCCCAAAATCTCCAAGAATTCCTGATTTTGTCTTTGTCAGCCCAGCCACTTGTGCAAACAGTGTCAAGCCAGGGCTGGGCACACAAAGCAAGGTCGGTTATAAGCCGTTCTCCTGGAACAGAGGCACTTGGAGCCAGCACAAAGGAATCTCTGTCTCTCCCCTGCACTGGCATCCTGGCAATTAACCCAGAAAATCGCAGTTTGGCCTTGTCCTGGGTGCTGAGTGTGGGTCTGTGCAGTGTGAGGGGCGTCTGGCCCGGCTGGGAGGTCTGACCACTCTGTGGCCCCTGGATGCACAGGGAAATGGAGTGGTCAGTGTCCAACTGGGAAGTACCAAATGAATAGGAAACTCGCCCACTTCTAGAAGAAGTGAAGGAAATAATTTTGGTTTTTACACTGAATTGTGTTTAAGAGATGTATATCCAGAAAACAGCAAAATTAGGAGTCACCTGGATCATAAAACCATGGAAGAGCCTGAGTTGGAAGGGACTCACAAGGACCATCGAGTCCAACTCCTGCCCCTGCAAAGGACAACCCCAAAAACCACACCACGGATCAAACATGAGCAACCTGACAGAAACACTGAGCTGGTCTGATCCCCACTGAACAACGTGTCACACACTGCCAGGGACACAGGAGCCCAGGGCAGAGCTCGGCTGGCGGAAACTGAGCCCTGCCCTGCCAGGCTCCTGCTGGAAACAACAGCCATCCAGAGCTAAACACGGCGCCGTGGGAAGTGCTGGTGAAGCAGATAATCCACAGGCAGAGGCTGTGACAGTCCACTCGAATATGTCACGGCACTGTCATCATTAAAAATACAGTAATTGGGTGCCTGGGCTGGGCTGATGTACGCGCAGGGGAAGTACTCTTGAATAATTAAAAAATATTCTGTATTCATTTTGCCACTGCACTTCCTGCAGATCAAATTAGTGAGGGATGGATCCAATTGCAAAGTAATCTTTTAAATCTTTGTGTTTGTTCCTTTGAGAATTTTTGTTTCATTTTTTACTGTGTAAAGCCCCCAGCGAAGCTCACAGCAGCCTCTAAAGGCATGGAGAGCGAGGGAATTAATGGTAAAAAAAGGAAGGCAGAGAGGAAGATTGTAAGTCATGCTTAAAGGGTATTGTAGAAACTCCAGTTCACCCAAGTCCAGCCCACTAGGAAACAAATATTTAATTGTACAGTAAATAACATATTTTTACAGTTCCAAAGCCATATCTCAGAAGCCAAGTGAATATAAACAGGAATGTGAATGGATTGCAGAGCCCCTGGTCCTCTTGTGTCCTGCCACAGGATGGGGACAGCAAAGGGACCCAAACGGGAGGGGAACCAGGGCTAGACCAGTTGACTGGGAATTGTGATTGGTATCTGGGGGACTCGTTTCCATTTTTTGTATGGAAAGGGACTGCTGCTCTCTGAGAAGCAATATTGGAAAGGAAAGTGCTGAGGGTGGATGGGCATTTCAATGCTGGCCCCAGGAAGCTGACGTGTGGCTGGGCATGGGCAGAGTGGGTAGCAACACTTCTGGGATTCCCTGAGGCTGCTGTGGTGCCTGGGGAGCAGCCAGTGATGCCCACGGGGCCTCCTGGAGCTGCTGCAGTGCCCGGCATGGGTGCAGTGCCCGTGGGACGTCCCAAGGCGGCTGTGGTGCCTGCCATGCCCTTGCAGCAGGTATCAGATGAGGAGCTCTCCAGTCACTGGGTGTTTTTAATAGCAAGTGGAATTGCTCCCCATCATCAGTATCTTATC